AAAAATGTAATTTTTAGGAAATCTTTTCATTTTTCGCCGATTTTGATTATCACCTGCTTTCAAATTTTTCTTTTCTCGGTGATATGCAGCCGAGGACATGCGCAGTTTCGAAATTAATTCGTGTGTACTTTTAATTCAGAAATAATCCGATCAACATTTGAAACTGCAATGGCCAGTTTTTACCCACTCTTGCTCCCCCACCCTCTCCCTCTTTAGTCATGGATCTTCACTGGTTAATGCACTCCGCAGAAATCGGGTTATTCTTCGCCTGCAAATGAGCAATCTTCCAAAAGTAATCCTCACTTCATAAAACAGTCCATTTGATTTGCACGTTTTCAGACTGCATTTTCAGTCAAATAGAGTATTGGGCTGAAAAATGAAATTCAGGCGATTTGAAAAAATTTCTGAATTTTTTCAATGTTTACTGGACAGATTGAGTTCGAAAATAAACTAAAAAATTGCTTGATTTTGTAATTTGCTAAAAGAAACAAATTGATTTGAGGTAACAGAGACGGGGAGAGAAGAGGCGTGTTTTCCGTTTTGTCAGTGATCGGCTGATTTTATCAAATGGTACTCAATGAAAATTCGAAGAGAACGAAGGCTTTTTGAAGATTTTGCAAACGCATTGTGCGAGCGAGGCGCACTGGGATTGATAACTTCAAATGTGGTACAGAGCAGTTTTCGGTAATGTCAGTGAATTGCGTCATTCATCGGCTTCATATCGTTGCTGAAGAATTCATTTCAGAATTTAAAAAAAAAGCACTTTTGAAGCGAAATTGCATCTGAAAGCAACTACTTCCCGTACATAATTAGCTGGTACAAGAAACAGAATCAATAGATAGTTCTGGAACCCGTTTTATGTGCTGTAATTTCCCGTTTCAAACGGGCAAACAAAGAAGAAATATCTGAGTCCAAGTATTATTCATACATAATAATATGCAAAATTAACGCGACCAAGTAGTTCGAGGAGGCAACTGAGTTATAGCTGTGCCGATTCTGGTTACCCTACCGCTTTTGCTTTTTCATGAAAGTCCCAGTAAGCATTGTTTAGTGCGAAAACGTAGTGGATATTTCGTAGCGCCATAAAGACGCTGTATACATCAAGTGTTCTCCAGCAATGGTCAAGCTGCGTTGGAATAGGCAAAAAAGAAGTTGGCGCAATTGGAAAAAATATATGGCGTTAAGAAAAATTGGCACAACTATGGCATAATTGTGAAAAAAATCGCGGGAAGGAAATTGTGGTCAGAGCGGCACACCGGCAACCTCATTTTCCAACATTTCTCGTTGCAGCCCGTTAAGATATAAATCCAGCATCAGTTGCTTTCGATCGGTTCTCGGAAGCCAGTCCCGATATTTGTATGCATTTTGTGGTTCCCAGTAAGCTTCATGCTCAATGTCACGCTTGCTCAGTGCTGAATAATCGACCAGAGCTCCCTGAAAACTACATGCCCAAAGTGCTTTCCATTTTTGTATTTTACTTGAACCAACTCGCCATCAGCCTGCTTTTCAGCAGTCTTTGAAAGGCTGAGAGAACGAGAGCCATCGACAACTTTGCTGGTTGGTGGTTGCTGTTGACATTTGCTATTTTCAGAATACTTCCGAATACTTCTGCCTCTACGGATGGCTTCCCCATTTTACCTCAGGCGAAAGCGAAATTGTACACGAGGGTAAAAAAACAGAAAAAAATAAATCATAAAGTGTTGCACTGAACATGGGGGCATTGTCAGTGATGTCAAAATGTATTAAAAAAAAGGCAGTGAAAGAGTCTGCAGATGCTAAATATAGCTCGAAATGCTAACATATTTAACAAATGGGATACAGAAAAAAAGCAAAAATGCTATTCTGAGCCCAAATGGAAAGTTCGATTTCAGAAACTGGCTGCACTTCCACTTCAATTTTAAATTCTTATATGTTTTATAACGCACGAGATGTTTTCATGCGTTTTTGTGCTGCAACAGGAAGCGAAAACCCATTAAGTCGAAACTAGGTCTGTGTACAAATGTCGCTATACAAACACTTTTTAACACCGGAACTACGAAAGCTAGAAAACTGAAATTCTGCGGGGCAAAAATCGAGCAAGTTAGAGTCTCCAGACTAAAAACAGCTCTCAGTTCATTCTGCTTTTTGGCTCTTGACCTCAGATTTTGAATGAACAACTTCTGCAAACATGAAAAGTTGAAGAGGTCAAAATTTAGTCCAAAGTTCCAGTCCCTCTGTGTTACCTTATCTCAGGCTTAAATTCAGATTTATCTCACAACTGAAATATAAAATTGAGATTTTGGAGACAAACCTAAATGCACGTTTCATGGCACAAAACTCAAAATTTTTGAGGCTAGGCATCTTATTATGTGCGCAATGAAAACAACCGACACTTCTTCCCGTGTTATGATGCTTTGCCTCAGATCAAAATTAGCGCTGATTTTATGAGCAGAATGCAAAAGGGGCGGCTGTGAATTCAAAATTTTAAGAAATTAATTTACCGCACACTGTGTCTTAGTCAAAATCGTATTTCATTTCGGTCAAAGGCCTGGCAACAATAAGTGGCACATTTTGAATAATAAGGGGGAAGGTTTCACTTCCATGTGTTGTGACTAATTACAGATTTTTTCTGTCGCAGTTTCTCCATTCCAAAATATGGAATGCTAGGCAGTTACAGTTTAAGAGCATTGCCCTTGACGTGCACAAATATAGGAGCGTAAAATCTGCTTTCACATCTCCCTCTGTTCCGATACAAGGGACTGAACAGCACACTGATGCTTCTCCAGCATGACCGAGTCAATTCGGTAAAGCAACACGAGCGGCAGTTACAAACCAAAAAAAAAAAAAAATATTACGAAAATTGAGGAAGCAACAATTCAATATCGGATTTTGTACTTAGAGGAAAAAGCACTTTCAGAATAAACTAGGACAAAAGAACTAACTGGCTGATTGTATGATGGATAACATGCAGTAGCACTCAGCATTGATGTCAGTACTGCCATCAGTAACATAACAATTGAGTAGTGCTCCTTTATTGCTTCAGGATGCCGAATAAATCCTGCAATACAAACACTTCTCGTTTCAAAATGAATTTGCATTCCGGCAGAACTAAGCCACCGGGTGTATCACTTCTTTGCACTTAGTGCACGAAACATGCCACTGTGATGAGGCATCCTATTTTTGCGTAGCACACAAAACGCATTCGCTATTAACCTCATCCTATTCCAAAATACGTCAGCAAAACAATAAATTGCCAAATGAAAGTGCTTGGCTTAAGTATCGAAACATTTTACGGCAAGCAGCATCCCTCCATGACTAAATGCTTTCAGCTCTGCAAATTATACACCGTCTTGACGACAACGTTTTTAATTGAAATAATAGTTCCTGCAGGTTTCATCTAATTCTCATGACTTCAACTAAAAATGAGGCATAATAATATACGGATGAGAAAACTTTCTGGTTATTTTCCAAAACTAAAAATGATATAGGCAAAATACGAAAAGCTACATAGAATTATGAGGACAAGAGAAGTCCAAAACAAAGAAGAATGGAAAAGTTGCTAGCTGCATCAGTGGCGAGAAGGAATCCCACGACAAAGCAACAACTGATCAAAGTATTGATTAAAAATTCCTTTCATGAAAAATTTGGTCAGTTTTATCTACTGAAAGAGTCCTGATAATAGTATGCATTTTTCTTGTACGTGTGTTTGTGTATGATTTGTATAGATGTGTCCGACCAGCTCATCTGTAGAGCTATCAAAATCAGGAAACTGCTAACGCTCGCCCTGTTTGCACACGGGATAAAAAATAATTGGCCAACGCA